TCCCCACTTTATGGATGTTTGGCAAGTGAGGCTTAGAAAGATGCGTTCAATTTCCTGAGGTTACACAGCTAGTGCATGGGAGACCCAGGACATGATCACAGGTATATTTGATGTCAGACTTGGGCTCTTAACACTTTGATGTCATGCTCTCACACAGGTTATCCCCTCTGTTGCTCCAATTTTGTGAAGCAGTATATTTGCTGTTCATGTTTGCATTCACCGATGAAGACACTGAATCCCACAGAGGCTAAGGAACCAGTTAGCCTTATGGTCACCCCACTGTGCTCAGATCCTTTTACTTCAAGATCACTTTTTAAAAAATTCCTTTTCTTTGTTGATCATGAAATGGTTTTTAAGAATATTAGAGAAAAGATGGACATGGAATGAAAAAAATACATTAGTGGTCCATGAACTTACCTGATGTTGTAGAAGAGCAGGGCTTTCAATTGCAACAGGAAACTATTATGAGAACCAGTCTCTCCATCCTAAACTGCCAGTAAATTGTATGTCCTTGCCTATCACATGGTGTCTCTGTTGAATGACAATAGGTCATATTTTGAGTCAATAATTCTGGAGAAAAAGAGGAGCTACTACGTATTTGTCAAAGCCCATCCAGCCTATCTGCCCTGTTCAAGTCCTGGGCCCTGGCCCCCAACAGTGGCATCTGCCTAGATTTGAGGTCCCATCTGGGCCTCAGGTAGGAGGAATGGGGCACAGGAGCCCTGCCTTCTGGGACTCAGCATCCAGCTAAGCCTGATGCTAGTCAGGGCCTGACCTGTGCCCCAGGACTGATAAGTGCCATGTCTGTCTCCATCCATGAACCCCAGGCCTCAGTTCTGGTGTCTGGATCCTACCTTACTTCTCCAGCCCACATCCCAGCTTAGGTACCCTGCCTGACTGCCTCGGTTGTCTTGCCCTGTGATCCTGTAGTGTTGTTGCTGAACCCCAGTTCCCCGTGGACTGAGGCAGAACCTAGGACCATGGAGGTTTGGGCTCTGTGACCTGTGACGTGTAGACAGAGTCCCCGGGCAAAGCTGGCTGGCCTAGTCTTGTGTTTTGTCTGCTGCTAACAATCTCTACCCAGGACTAGACCAAAGAAACTACCATCTGGGCTGATTACTGCCTCCTTCCCCTTATTATTTTCTTGGAATGCCATGTCCCACCCCTCGGCCAGGCTTGTTCCTGGCACCACCAACAGCGTGTATCTCTCCCCTCAGCCACAGCCCAGCCCAGCAGCTATGCCCACACCTAAGCTGGTTATGTCCATCTTTGACTGGACACAAGCCTCTGTTGCCTTTCTTTCAAGTGGGGCCTAGTGCTCACCTCAAATAGGAGACTCTTCACTGAGGCACTGACCGGAAGGGGCAGCGGCTCCAGAGGGGAGGAGGGATGGAGACCAGTGAGGCTGGCTTGGGGGCTCTGGCCTGGCAGAGGGCACACCTGACATTCAGTGGCTGCCATCCCAGTGAAAACAAAGTCAAAGGATATCAGCTTCAATGGCAAGCTGCCTTCTGATCCCATCTGCCTCCTGCAGCCCCTCAGTGCATGGTGGCCGCACTCTCACGCACTCACCATGCTGTGCCATGGTGACTGTTTGGAGGCCTCTCAGGCTCTCCCTGGCAGGCCCATTCCTGGGCAGCTCTTTTAATCCTTAGGGCCTAGGTTCACATTTCTCAACTCTTCTGCTGAGTTCGGTACGCATCATCACGTTCTCCTCAAACCCTGTGATATCCCCAAGTGGGGAATGTGTTAAAGTTACCTCTGGAACTCCAGATCCTGGCCACAGTATGTGCCCAGTAAACGCTGAATGACTGAATGAATGAATGCATCTGCCAAGTCCTGGATGTAGAACCCCAACCCACCCTCAGAAAATGTCTGTCTAACTGATGAAATGCTGGACTATATAAGAATCAGTAAACAGGATTTTTCTTTCTGTTTTTGTCTTCTCCCGTTGGGAAAAGACAACTAGAAAGAAACATTTGCTGAGCTTTGGCCTTGCTGCCTCTGCGCTTGCAGTCAGCAGTATGAACAGGAGCTGGGCCAGGCCACGGGCTTTGACATAAATAACCCTTGCTCTTGTTTAAGTACAGTTTCCAAAAGAAAGTTCTACTGTATACATAATTGGATTCTTCCTTGCTGTAGTTTAAGCCTTCTTCCTCTTTTCCTTGAGAGGAATTATAACTCATTATCTCTGAAGTTCGCAAGGGCAGCTTTTCTAAGCAAGACAAGGAACTGACTCTTAGAGCTGCATTCTCTTCACCTTCGTCTTCCCATGTACGTGTCTTTCCAGACTTTCAAAAATTGTGCATTTGCTTTAATGAGTCAGTACATAATAGGTTTCTCTGCTGTTTGAGAAAACAATTTCCATCTGTTCATATATTGTTAAAAAGTAATAGGTTCTTTCTTTTTTTAAGACTAATCCTTCCTTACTTCCTCCTCTCAAATTCTGAATCTCAGATCCTTTGAAGTCCAACATAATTTAAACGTTAATTCCTTTCTAAGCTCTTTCGAAGCTCCTGCACTCACTATGCAGATTTCATTAAATCTCAGAGCCTCTTCATATCGATGTCTCAGAAAAAGCAAAGTGATTCTTGCTGTATATTAAAAAGTTTTCCTCAAGAGTAGTGTCTTTTGTCCCTATTTCTGAAGCTGTGTTTATTTATTTATTTGGCCTTCAAAAAGAAAACAGAAGTCTGTTACAACCTAAAGAGAACACAAGCACTGGGCTTCTCATCTCGTCTGTGGAAACATCTGGTTATTGTAATATACAGAGCTCTCATTTCAGAATTGGCAGTTTGCAGTCCTGAGCATTTGCAGCTTTACATCACCTTGTGTTGGCAAACAATAGTAAGGGCCAGTCCAGGAAAGAAACGGATGAATCTTAGTACAGAATGAGATTACACGAAGGCATGAGGATGCCAATATTCCCATTGCCAATATTTCTATTTCTAATATATTCACCTTGGGAGCCAGTATGTTATTCCAATGATGATGACATTGAAAAACATTTTATTTCTGGAACTTCTCCTTTAAAACTGACATCTGGCGCAGAAGGATCTATCTTGATATTTTTTTAAGAGCAGAGTAAATTGTAGTAGGGCCATGTATTAGGTGAATGATCATACTGGGTCATTTTAGGAAAAAGAAGTAGTCAAAAGAAATGTGTTTCAATATGGAGCCAGAGACGTGAGTCCCAGTTCTGATTCTGCCATTTTTGTTCATTTTGTGATATTAGAAATTTCACTTAACTGCTTTAAGCCTCTATTTCTTTATCTGTAAGTGGGAATAAGACTTTACAAACTTTACAAAGATTTCAAATGAATAACCAGAATAAGTGTCTTGTCTCTGTGATTTCCAACCTTTATGTCTTTTGTGTATCACTTAATTTTGAGCAAAACCAACACAAAATTCTGGAGTCCTGGAATGCTAGTGTTCCAAGAAATTATCCAGCCAATCCCATGTTTTTGATGAAGAAACTGAGAACCATAGTTATAAAAGAAGTACTTAGAATGGGAAGGTGACTTCTTTGAAAGAGAATGTTTATTTGGTATTTACATTTAAGGAATTATTTTTAAACCAAACCCACCCCCAGCCCCCTCAAAAAAGTTCATTTTACTGAATTCACACTGCTATACTATCAAATTAAATATATTTCCTAGTAAATGGGACAGGAGTCCTCTTGGGGTTGCTGATCAGGATCACTCTGCTTATTCTGTTTAAGCCAGAGGAGGAGTGGAAATACCAGGGTAGCTGGAGGAAAGCTATAGCAACCATTTCCCAGAAAGGAAAAAGTTTGCTGGTCCTTCTGTCTCCTCCAGAGCCTCAGTAAACCAAGGGTATCTGCCTCTGGGCTTCTGCAGCCCTTCAGCGCAGGGAAGCCAGAAGTGAGACCACCAGGGGGTAAGGCGTGGGCCGACCTCGAGAACCCCGGAGGACAGGGGCTGGGAGGAAGTATGCACGTGCTCTAGGATGAATGAGGGACAAAAGCTAGGAGGGGACGGGGAGCAGCAAGTTCCATCCTGGAGTCGTGGGGTGTCACTAGGACCACTCCACGCTATCGGTTGTCTGTCTGGGAGATTACCACACCACCAGTAAGAGTGTCTGTTTTCTGCAAACAGAAAAGCTCTCAGGAGATCCCTTTGCAGCTACTCTTAGGAACTCAGTACAGTATGTAACAGTCCCTGCTCTTAGAAAGATCTTATTTTGAAAAAAAAAAATCCCTGCATATCACCTTTGATATTACTTGCATCATCACACTAAAAAAACAGTTCAGTGTTTATACTGGAAAACCTCTTTGTCCCCTCCCATTTTTTATACAGGGCATAAATTTGTTTTTTTATACAGGGCATAAAGATTTCAGAAGGATGGGTCAGTTGTTTGTCGATTGAATTATAGGAAGAAAGTGTGATTATGCAATAGAATTCAGAAAAAAATATAGCTTATTTTAGCCTGCATGTATCTAACCTAGTCATAGTAATTATAATCTCTTTGTTTTTTTATTTCCTAGGGGAAATAGGTTAGGTTGGTCCTGAAAGCATCATTATAAAGTATGCACATAAAATTGAACTTTCTTACATCTAGGTCACTTGGGTAAGAAGATTCTTTTGATAAAAACCAGGTTGACAGTTAGATTCACAGGGCACTTCAATGTTAAATGATATTCTTCCCACATTCTGGGTCATAAGGCAGTGTAAACAATACACCAATGTTAAGAAACAGAAAATCACATTCACAACAACAGCAAAGCTTCAAAATACTATGTTCTGTTCTGCCATGTTAATATTTTTAGTAATATAATTTCCTTTTTGTATACTTTTAGTTTCTTTTATTTTCTCTTTACCTTTAGGGAATAGCTTTCTATAATGCTACATCTAATGCCAGGAGAAATTCCTAAAAAAATAGAAGGCAAACTGCCAAATAATCTTCAAAGGAAAATAGCAAAAACAATAAAAACTGATTTAAGATCCTCCAGCCAAAATGTTATCTTGTGTGCTTTACAGACTCGATCTGTGTGCCAGGCTTTGATCCGGGGCTCAACATGATGACTGGCATCACCCCCATTAACCCGATGATACCAGGCCTGGGGCTGGTGCCGCCCCCACCGCCCACAGAAGTGGCTGTTGTCAAAGAAATAATCCACTGCAAAAGTTGTACTCTTTTCCCTCAAAATCCAAGTAAGTGACACCTGTGAGAAATATTTACTGATCAATTTCAGCTTCTCTCTTTTCTTTTTCACATAGTACTGCATGTATTTCCAGATGTGACCCAAAATCCTCCCAGATAGATACACAAAGTAAGAATGTATCCTACAGAAGGCCTGTGTCTCTAGATTAAAATATTCAGGGATGTGTCCAGAGGCTGAAGTGACTCCATGAAGGCCGTATGTGTGATTTCGGGATATATATCCAGCATTAAGGATATTTTCACATGCAATGAAGTCTAACATTTGCCTCAAACATAGTGTGAAATATGTGATCATTTCCATCCATCTTCCACAAATGTGGGAAAAAACTGAAATGTGTTTTGCTAGATGGAAAATTGAATTAATTTGGCAGTTAGCAATTTTGGGGGGAAGTCGGCATCTAGGAGTTTCTGGGCCAAATTGCATTTGCTTGAAGGAAACATACATTTGATAAAATAAATGAGCCAGAAATTTTTTTTTAATTTAGCCTCAGATACTAAGTTTACCGGATTAAATAGCTAGAATTTTTTTTTATTCACATTAATCAGTGTTGCCTTTTTGAAGTGGACTTTTCAGGAGATTGCTTTAGCAATCTACATATAAACTAGGTAAAATGTTGTGACAATGTACATTTTATCTTTTTATACAGTCTCCCCCAAATTTAATAGTTTGCTCATTTGAATGTGAATCATAAAAAAAAAGTGGTTTTTTTCAGGCTCGGTGTTTCCCGGCCAAGTAAGTCCCGCGCACGTGCTTTCAGGTTGTGAGCCGCGTCCGCCCGCGGCTCCATTATCCCGCCGCGAGACACAGCCGATGACAAGCCAAGGTTTTCCATCATGTTGTCATCTCATCATGCTTTGTACTTGAAGTTTCCCCCCACCCCATCCTCTGGGCCTCTGTATCTCGAAGGAGAAATGAAATTATGCTAACATTTGCTTTCCCTTTGTTCACGAACAAGCATAGCCAGTCTGTGTAGCAAAGAACAGAGTAAAAAAGGTTTGGGAGGAGGAGGGGAGAGAGAATGAAAACAAGACAGCCATGGTCACGTCCCTGTGGCTGGGCTCCAAATGCATCGTTACATAAAATGGAGACGGTTGCCCAGCAAGTGCCGCTTTTGCCAGGTGAGCCCGGAAAAAGAAGAGCGCAGATAAAGAAAAGGCAAACCCCTCTGTTTTGTTGTGATTCTTAGATCTTCCACCTCCTTCCACACGCGAACGACCTCCTGGGTGTAAGACTGTGTTTGTCGGGGGATTACCAGAAAATGCTACTGAGGAAATTATTCAAGAAGTCTTCGAGCAGTGCGGTGATATTACAGCAATTCGGAAAAGCAAGAAGAATTTTTGTCACATTCGCTTTGCAGAGGAATTCATGGTTGATAAAGCCATTTACCTTTCCGGTACTTCACATTACATAAGGGGTTTTCTAAGCATTTTGTTATGTTTTGTGATGTTAACATGAGCTTATTCCATCTTGCCTTCATGCACAATACAGTCCTCCCAATTTGGGGCTGGAGAAGGGGGAGTTGTGCCTTTCCCCTGGGCTGCAAGGAGCTCTGTGTTAAATCTGTGAATGTACCCCGCAGCAGACACCATCTCCTACCATCCCATCTTCACAATATTCATCAAGCTTCTAATTAAAGTTCTCAAGTGCTTATTAGATGAAAAGCAATATTATGAATACTGAGGGCCATTATTATTATTGGATGTAACTCTCTGGGGAATAGAGTACTCTCTCCATGTAATTTCAGTTGTTCAGTAGTGGTTTACTTTCTAGATACCAGAGTACCAAAATCAAGATCAGTTCCTTGCAGAAAGTAGTCTGTGGGCCCCAGGGAAGGCCCAGTATCATGGCCCCACTGCTAGTGTATTTAGACTGGTTAAGCCCATGATCCGTGCTTCTTTGGTGCTAACTTACATGGGAGATTTTTACAAATGTTGCAATTAGACCTAATGCTGCCTTCTACTCCGTGGGTGTTGGAGCAAGTGTTTTGGAGTCTGTCAACAAGGCCTTTGCCAAACCTAAGAATTATGGGGCTTATATCGATATGTGCGCTTAGAAGGACATATTTTTAGATTCAACTCATTGCCATTCCCTCACACTCTCCATCTGCATATTCCAGTCTGCCACTCTGCACACCACCTCCCTATTGCTGAGGCAAAGCTAATGGGGGAAGGTGAGAAAAGAATAGGAAAAAAAAACCACATCTTGAACACTGCTGCCAGGTTTACTGAATTTCTGCAGTCAGCCCTACTGCCGTGACAGCCTCTTACAAATGCCAGCAGCCTGGGGTCTATTCCAGCTCTGCAGATGCCCCTGAGCTACACAGGGGTCTGGAGAACTTTAAAACCCTTATTCCAATATCCTTACAAAGTGGGAAAAAAACCTGGAAGTATTCCTAAATGGAGATGGATGATGAAACACAGAATACAAATATTTCACAACCCACAGACAGCAATGTTTTACTTTTCATGTATTTTCCTGCTAGAGCATCAGAGCCATCTGTTAGATGACTGGGGGTTCTAGTGAGTGCATGGCCCTGGGTGTCCCATGCCTTAGGCAAGATAACCTCTCTCTGAGCCTCTGTTTTGTCATCTGCAAAATTGAAATAGTAACTACTACCTCATAGGATTGTTATGACAAACAAACCAAAATAGTACTTAGCAGGGCAGTGCAACATAGGAACCATTCAGAAATTTTTTTTTTTTTAACATAGATGTCCTGATGATGATAAAGGACTGATTCTTGTTTCTCAGGAACCCTGCACACGGAACTTGGGGTCTAATCACAGCTCTACCAATAAAATTATTATTTTTACCTCACCTGATTAATGAGAGGGTCAGAGTAGATTAAAGGCGCTTTTCAATACCAACATAACACAACGTTTAGACCTAATCAGGAACCGCATAAGACATTACCAAAGATGAACAGGCCCAAATTGAGACAGGACAGGCATTCCTTTATTTATGACTTTGTGCTGTGCTTTTCCCGGCTCAGTCCTCAGTCGTGCTTCTCAGCCAGGCCCCTGATCTCTCCTTGGTCTGCCACTTTGCAGCAGAAAGCCCCACAGCAAAGGCCTCAAGTCCAGCCTCCCTGCCTGGAGACAGGGTGTCTCCGAGCTCGGCCTTGGTCTCCCTGGGGAGGTTGTAGCATCCTCGGTCGCAGAGAAGATCTGATTAATCAGAGGGGCAGAAAGGCAGGAAGGCTGCCTCTGCTGCATGCACACTCCTGCCAGTCTGAGCCCAGCTGAAAGGTCTGTCTAATTTTAGGATGGCATTCATATTTGAAGGCCAAGCTAATTTTAGACTCAGCCTCATCAGGGTCTCTTTTCAGGCCTTAATGATGGTGTTTTGGTGAAAAAGAGGGTGCTTTTTGGAACCAGAAATGTCTGAGAAGCGATGCTCTGGACATGAGCAGGAGAAAGTTGCTTGGGCATTTGGGACAGCTGGCTAGTCTTGGGCCACCCTGCCTGCCTAACTATTATGTACATATCACCAGGGCCTGCTGTGGGTTCTACGACACACAACCAAGACGCACTCCGCTTTAGTATTAATTCTGCTCATCGCTGATGGAATGTTTGTGCTTTTGATAGATACTGTTTTATCTTACCATGCTTAGATGACACTGTTTAAACCTAGGAGTCAGAAGGGCATATCAGGAATTAGATGAGATCTGTTTCATTTGTAACTTTTCAAAGGTGTGAACTGCCCCCCTACTGGGAAAAAGCCAGCCTCTACAGTGATTTTCAGCTGAGTTTCAGACCAAAATGCCAAGATAATCCATTGAAATGTATCAGAGATCCTGAACAGCAGTGCAGCACAGCCTAGATTTCAGTGGTGTCTCATTTGCAAAGCCCATACACAGCAGAGGTGGGTATTTTGCTCTCTCCTCTGGCAGCCCCTGACAGCCATGATCCTGCTGGGACCTGAATTTATGTTTTTAAAATCTGAGTGCCCCAAGCTCAGAAGAGCATCCTCAAAGCCACATCTACTTCATGTGAAGTCAGGCCGGCTGTCTGGTTTCAGTTCTGTTTGTGTCTGTTTGTGTTGATTCCTCAAATCAAGTTTCTGCTCATAATCCTTTATAAATTGGACAGCTCACAGTAAATCCCCCAGAGATTTCCAGGTCCATTTCTTGGCCTAGCTCTGGGCCCCTGTGGGGGCTCCTACGGCCTTCAGAGATGGCATAGACAGGTTGTTCTGTGCTGCGTGCCAGATGAGGAGCTGCAGGGCTATTAGGAAGGCAGAGGTGAGGCCTCTTGATTAAAGGTAAAATATTCTCCTGTGTGCCCCAGAGGACAAGTGGAGCAAAACAGCCCTGCAAAATTGCCTTGGTAATTGTGCCTCTTGCAGCTGCAGAGAGAATTTCTCAAGGAATGAAGCCATAGCCTGTGAGGTGCTGTGGAATTTACTTTGCAGCTCTTCTTAAATACCTTAGGTAACTCCTTATTTACTCCTCCTCCACCTCTTTCTAAAACGAATTTTAGAGTGCTTATGCAATAGTTACAGTAAGTTATTGTAAAAGGAAATGTAAAAAGAAAGGGCAAATTTAAAAGAAAACATACAAAGATAGAGGGTCGGTGGGGAATGCTACATGCCAAATTTGTTTCTGAGCTTACTGGAAGCCAGAGCAAAGAGTGAGTCGTGATACCTGCCCTGGTTCTTGAGGTCCTCCTCTTAGTGGCAGTGGCTTGCAGATGGGTAGGTGACCCTCTGAGACATCTCTCACAGGTGTGTTTGTTCCTAAATCTGTAATAGGCTTAACATGGCGATGCTTCTGGATCACTGGGCCACAGGACAACTGCTTCCTACCTTCTATAGGAAGTGGGAAGGGTGTCCTATGTAAAAACAAAAAAATAAGTGAGTGCTCCCCTAGGGCGCCTCCAGGCCCTGTTGTGACATTGCAATATGACCACACTTTCCATTGGTTTCAGGATACCGAATGCGGCTAGGGTCTAGCACGGACAAAAAGGATTCGGGCCGCCTGCACGTGGACTTCGCCCAGGCCAGGGACGACTTCTACGAGTGGGAATGCAAGCAGCGGATGCGCGCCCGCGAAGAGCGGCACCGGCGCAAGCTGGAGGAGGACCGGCTGCGGCCGCCGTCCCCGCCCGCGATAATGCACTACTCGGAACACGAGGCCGCACTGCTGGCCGACAAGCTGAAAGGTAGGAGGCCACCTGCTCTGCGTCCTCAGCCCTCACCTTTGCCCGCTAAAACAGAAATGCTGAGACCCCCCAACGCCGAAGCCCTGTGTGTTCCCCTTGCCCTTCCTGCGCTGATTTCCTGGGAGCAGGGTCCCCTGGGAGCAGAGACGCCCTGGCTTCCTCAGGCCGCGTGGGATGGAGCCCTGCCCGTTCCAGCGCTCTCACCCGCGTTCTCCATGACCGGGAGTGACTTCGCTCAACATAAGTCGGGGAAAGAGGAGCCGAAGAGTCATCAGCACCAGCCCCCACACGGGTTCCTGCCCTCTGAGCTGGCCTGGTGTCCCCTTCTGTGGGCGGTCAGGTCCCCATGCTCCTCCGGTTCTACAGTTTGCAGCCATGCTGGACTCTGAACAAAGCCCCCCTAACACCTGTCGGTAACAGCTGGGGTCCACAGAGTTCAGAGAGCAGTGTAGAACAGGGTCCCTGTCTTCAGAGATGGAATTAAAGGGACACTCATAACACCTACAGAATAATGAGGAATAGAATACAGGAATCTCATTTTTTAAAAATCTTTGCTGGGCTCCTATCCTGTGTTTGATGCTGTAGAAGATGGAAGCAGAGAAAGGCTTTCCTACCTGCCCCTGTGAACTGCAGATGATTAGGGAGGCACCAGATATTGAAGTTAGGATGAGGTGTGTATGAATTCTGTTCCGTTATAGATCAAAGTTGTGTGACCTGAGCAACATCAGCATTTTACAGGCAAATGATGGTCAGACCCTCCTCAGCCATCAGGGGTGTCAGCTTTGAGTGAGAGAACGTAGGTTATTGTTGCGAACCTTATGTAGGAGTCTGCAAGTACAGGCGTGCCTCCTAGGTATTGCCAGTTCGGTTTTTTTACTACTGCAGATTATCACAACAAAGCATGTCAAATTAATTCTTTGCTTTCCCAGAGCATTAAAAAGTATGTTTAGAAGGATTCTACTGTGTAGTCTGAAGTGTGCAATAGAATTATATCTAAAAAACAAGGTACGTTACCTTAATTTAAAAAATAATTTTTTGCTGAAATATACCATCATCTGAGCTTTCAGGGAGTTGTAATCCCTGATCACAGATTGCCATAACAAATATAACGATAATGAAAAAGTTTGAAATTACCATATGTGACAGAGGTTGCCACAGACTTTCAGTTTGTAAGAAACACAGTATTGGCAAGGCACAAGAGAGTGAAGCCTAATAAAATGAGGTATGCCAGTAAATGATTAACTGTAAAACAAAGGCAGTGACGTGATTGCCAACCAACATATGAGCCACAGGCTTTGGGAACTCAGGGACGTGTACGAATAACATTGTTGAAGGTATCAGGAAAGGCTTTAGAAATAAGGTAGATTTGAACACTGCAGGATAAACAACTTTCTTCCTCAGGAGAAGAGGGGCCTAGAGGCATTCTAGTCAGAAGCTGGAGCCCTAGGAATGAAGACATAAGGAAGCAGAGGGGAATTTAGCATGGGAGGGACTACATGGAAGTTAATAAGCAATGGGAAGCTGGAAAAGCAGTCTGGGGCCAGGTGGCGGAGCCCCGAAGACTGCCACCAGGTTTGGGTTTTATTGCAAAGCAGTGGAGAAACCATGAAATATTTCCTATGAGAAGAGAGATGCGACTAATCCTTTGAGTGCTCTAGGGCCTAGTTAATTACCAGCAGTGTATAAACTGGATTGGATATTTATACTAAAGGAAATGTATGAAAATCTGCCCAAAACCTATTTTAAGTAAATAGGAAGTTAACATTCTATTTCTTTAAAAAAAGAATTTTAAGAAGACTTCTGCTTCTAGCCTCATTCCATTTAGGCCTCAGAAACCCCTAATCAGCTGCAGTTGCCCCTAAAATGCCCCAATGCAACCAGGAGTGCTTCTTGCTGAGTTAGCGGTGTGTGTTCCACTGCTTCAAGAAGGGGTGTCTTACAGAGTGAAACCATAGCTAGAGCTGTCCTTTTAATGAAAAGCACATAAAATGAAAATGTAGACATCATCTCATTTTTCCATTCACACTATAAACCATAACGGGAGGCCAGAATGAGAAAGAACACCTTCAATCAGGAATGTTGAATTTGGAGCAAATAATTTTTTCTTTAAAATCCAGTATACTATGTAGTCTTAGCTTATAAACTATCTAGACTAAACGGTATTTGGTTGTGTCCACACCTAGAAGTGACAAAAACTAACAACTTGATTCTATAACCTTGTGGAGGGATTTCAGGAAAGTTTGGCATCTACATTACATTATTTTTAAGAAACCAGCACAGAAGTGTCTATGCATGTTAAGAGGTACCCGGCATTGCCTTTCCTGTTAGAGGAGAGCAGATTGGGATGTCAATTTGGTAAAGTAATTTGCAAGCCTTGCCATTTCAAAAAATATGTATTTATATAGATGAGTATAATTTTCAGAATTTAGAAACTGCACCTTTGCCAAGTATTTGTGATCCCTTGAGGAGAGAACAGATTGGAAATTTTAATAGACAACAGTTACAGTGGAATGAACTAGCTGGGGATACATCTTAGGCAACAGTCAGGTAATATCAAGCTTGACAATTTCAAAGCAAGCACGGAGTATGGAATATGAACAGCATTCAATTGCTTAGGAAACTGGCTGCCTCTGAGAGGAAATCTGCTCTGTGCTCCTTATAACTCTGCAAAGCCAGACAGGAGGAGCTAAGGAGACTGTTTCCCTCAAGCTGATTTCATTGATATGGTGATAAAAAATGCAGTCAAATTCTAAGGTAAACAAGACTGGGTAAAAAAAAGGTAATGGAAATACAATCTGAAAATACCTAATTGGTTTTGATTTTTTTCTCCCCTTAGAAATTCTTGGTATCTTAGGTTTATTACAAACATTTTTCCTCATTTTGAATCATGAATGTTTATTCTTACAATTTTATTTGAGGTAATAAAAAAATCAGATTTATCCAGCAAAACCTGTGCAAACTAACTCTATTATGACCCACAATGCTCTCCATATCCTGCCTAGTTAAACTCTGCACATAGTAGATGCTCAGTAAAATAATTATTTTCTTTCTTCTTTAACTATTTGGATCTATGAGCATGTTGAATTTCTGTAATGCTACCAGACATGATCAGAAGTGTAGGGAGGTGATATGCACTTGGCCATCATTCCATTCACTCCACAGCGTGTTTGCTGAGGTCTTCACCATATGCCTGGCACTGCGCTAGTACTAAGGGAGAGGAAACAAGCCCTGCCTCATAGGGTTAAGGTTTCTTGATGATAGAAGAAATTACAAAGCACCCAGACTTGCCAGTCTCATGCGTGGGAAGAGCAGCGTGCTATCCCAGGAGTCATATGCAGCGCAGCTGGGCATTGGTGGAGTGAGTGTGCATTGTTGGGGTGGGGGAGGGATCTTCCAAGACCAGGTAACCCCAGATTCAGTGGCCACTGTGCCTTATATTGAGTTATAATTGTGTAATGTCTAAGGCACTAACCACCCAGTGTCTGTTACATTAATACAAATTCTAAAAAAGAAAATTAGCAGGCACCCTGCTGATTAAATAGACATTGTTCTGAGACAATTCAGCTCAATGAAGACTGACTGGGAAGTAACTGCTCACAGGCCCAAAGTTTATAGCATGGCTTTGAGAAAGTGAGAGGGAGCTCAATAACCCCATAATTGCACTTTATTGGAAACAGTAGCACCAGGCAGATGAGATAATGAATTTCAGTGTGTCTAACACAGACCATCCACCCCTGGAGGAGCGCTGTGTTTGGACTGTGAAGGAAGAGATTGATCAGACAGTGAGGAAAGATTATATCCTAATTCTCTGGGGATTTCTCCTGGCAAGAGCATTTAAAAGGTTTTGTGTACGTTTTCTCTCTTTGGAAAGCTTCACACAATCTTTCATTATGTCATGAAGTGAAGGGTTTCTTTCTGCATCAGGTGAAGTTTTGACAAAGCTTTGCAGGCAGTGCCCTTGGGATTCCCTGATACGACATCATCTTGGCGTTCAGAATTTCCAGAAGATTAGACTCCAGTTTGCATACAGAATGGCCCAATGTCAGCCCACCGCAAAGAGGAAGGGTGGAAGAGGTGCCAGCATTTGTTGAGATGCAGGTCAATACATATGGTTCCAAGAAAGTAAAATCAATATCGCTGTGAGCCAAGTGGAAGTTCCATTTGCTGAAGGTCAGGTTTCCTTCTTAGGGCAAGGAAAATATGAAGCACAGGAGCCTGTCTGAGAATCACTTCCTTAGGAATTATTGACCTTCAAAGAGACAAGATATGTCATTTCATCTAGAAACCTTTTTCTTGACCCCAAAGCAGGAAGAACCAGTGCATTTCATATTGCCTCCCTTAATCCTCCCATTTTTACATGTACTAGATAATTGGGGAGTTTGTAGGGGGATGTTGGCGCAAAAGGAGCCTTAACCATTTGTATAGCTTTTTATGATTTGGAAGATAAGTAAGGTACCACCCCTTTTGCTGGTTAATTAAGCAGCCAGAAAATGGAAACTCGTTCAGAGGTGTCCATTGGTTAGGGATGCATAGTGAGGTTTGGGGAATGTTGTAGCAATGCTTTGGCCATCCTAGAATTCCCATTCTGCTTGACTCAATTCATGACTGTACACTGTAAGTTATTTTCAGCTATCATAGAAGCCAGAAACCAGTGACACCTGTCTAGATGCACCATTGAGTATGTCTGTGTGAATGTGCCCCATTTATTTGGAAAGAAAAGTGTTGTAAAATGTCTTCCTTTTTTTCCTTCTTCTTAAGACCTTTTGTTCAAACATGGACGCCCCTCCTGTTGTTCCTTTATAGGCCTGGCCATAGAGATGCTGGAACCCACTTAGGTTTTCATATTCAGTATTCATGGCCTTGCTTTTGTCTCACCTATTGTTCTGAAATGCAGGGCAGATCTCTCTCTGCACACAAAGTGGGAGAAAAAAAACCACTGATCAATTTGATTACTTTTCCCTTTCATTGTCTACACATCAGTTTGATTGAAGTTCAACAGG